GTGGGGTCATGATGCAAAAGACGACCAACCAACTAAGCATAATCAGCACAAAGATTGGCAGGTACGTTGCGTCCACTTCCATTCGATTTACTAACCCAGAACAATTAGCCAGCCAATGTGGAAGATGTGCCACATCGTCGTGTTATCTGGTCTGTACGTGTGCCTGCGTTTCGAGATAGTTGCATTTCAGCGTTTGTTTCTTTATTTAGATCACGGGTGTGGCTGAGTTTGATGTGAATATTGACAAGGTGCCTACCAGTCTAATAGGCACCAAATCGATTATCCTGTCTCCAGCTGACAGTTAGTAGTTGCTGGAACGAGCTACGGCCCAAGCACCGCCTTGTGTACCTCTGGCACGCAGTATTTCCAAATTAGGCATGCGTGCTTCTGCTCTGCTTGTTATAGGAGTGTGGGCCGGCTCCGTCGATAAAACGTGGCGCCCATCCAAATTCATCTATGTCATATTCCTACGGGTATACACTGGATATGGGGTGTGTTGTTGGAGCCATGGGTAGTGCGTATCAGATCACCCGTGGTCCCTTTGTGGCTATCGCACGGAAGCCGCATTGACAGACAAATCCGGAATCGGATGCTGCCAACCATACTCCTCGATAGTGCGAGGCAGAATCCAAATCATTGGTCTGATCATTTTGTACAAAGGGATCACATGGGACGGATGATATCTTTCCGGATTTTTTTCCGGGCAGCTCCCAAACTATTTTGTGGGGCTAATGGTTCTTTTAAACCTTTCAAGACGATTCAAAGGAACCGTAAGCAATCGGGCGCATCCCTACGTTGTGGATTGGGGAATGCCTTCCTTGTGGAGGCAACGAATAAGTGTCGGTTGCTTTGCAGGCCAGATGAATAACATTCGCGGACAAACAGCGGCAACGTATCAGAGCGCGGAGTTCCGGGCTAATCAGCTAGTTCTCCATCAAATACCACAAGAGCTCGCAAATCAGTGGGTAAAAGCCAGAGGGACGGGCTATAGGGTCACTGACCATTCACTTCTTTAAGCAGAAGTAACTTTATATATATATATATATATATATATATATATATATATATATCAGAGCTATTTACCCACTCGGATCATTCATGTCCGCAGTAACCGCGTAGACGTTGAGCAAAACCAACGTAAGCTCATTCCGCGAACCGCTTCAGATCACTTTGGCAGTATCAGCATCGTAGGCCGATGTGAATCCCACGGGATCTGGTAAGCACAGTCAGCAGTGGAATTCAGAGTTCTCTTGCGATAGAGACATTAAGAACTTTACATGGAAGTCGCTTTCCTTCCGTTGCTCGTAGGAGTACTACTACTTTTTCGTGTGATGTATTCGTGTTTTTGACGTAAGTTTGCACTATCCAATTTAGGAATAAATCGTGGGAAGAAACTATCATCGCAACTGTCGATTCCTGGGTTAACAGACGCTGCACGACAGGGTGAACCGTGCAGCAACCAGTACTCCCAACTCAAGATGAAGCGTTAGCTGAATTAGCTACTTCATCACTCCTGAACAGCACGGTTTCCGTCGACAGCGGTCAAGTACAACGAATTTACTCATTGCACACAGTAGTTGGACCGAAGCAGCCGACGCTGGAGAAGGTGTCGATGTGATCTACCTGGATTTTTCCTAGGCTTTCGATCGTCTAGACCATCGGATACTGCTATCCAAGCTACAGCGTTACGGGATCGGAGACCCAATTTTAAGCTGGATCGCCAACTTTTTACACCAACGGCAATTAGTGGTCAGCGTTCGGAGCTCTTTATCGGATCCCATACAAGTAGAGTGTGGTGTGCCACAAGGCTCAGTTGTAGGTCCACGTTTGTTTTTGGTGTTTATTAATGATGTTGCACAGGGAATCGCTTCAAACTTCCTAATGTTTGCCGACGATATCAAGATCTGGCGCAGGATCCAGGCGAACACCGACAAACATTTGCTTTAGAGTGATTTATATACGGTGTATCAATGGTCGACCCAAAATTTATTGCACTTCAACGTCAGTAAATGCAAGGTGCTTTCCATCCGACATCAGAGCAGCTACTCATACCGACTCGGAACGGATGTATTGCAACAATCAACTCTCGAACGTGACTTTGGTTTCCTGGTTCAAGATGACGTGGGTTGCTCCAGGCAATCCGAAAAGGCCTCGAAGACCGGGAACCAACACGTGGGGCTGTTGAGGCGGGCGTTTGGACAAATAAACAACTCCATATTTCGACAAATGCTCAGTGCGTATGTTCGCCCCCATGTCGAATACGCAATTCAAGCCTGGCATCCATGGCTGACACACGACCTTAATGCACTGGAGCAGCCACAACGCCGGGCATCTAAGAACGTAATTGGAATGCGCAATCTTCCTTACCAGGAGAGGCTGCGACAAATATGATTGTTCAGTGGAAGCTATCGCAGACTACGAGGCGACCTGATTATGGCATACTTGATTCTGCGAGACCCACATCATGTGTGCCGCCCTTTACTGCAACTCAGCAGCAATACAATCCTGAGGGGCCACTCATTAAAACTCGCAGAACAATACAGTCGTCTGGAGTGCCGCAGAAATTTCTTTTCCATTCGTGTCTGTCACCCGTGGAATGCTCTCCCAGAATCGTTCGTCTCTGCACCGACACTAACAGTATTTAAAAGATGGTTGGACGAAGCACTCATTCACTTACACTTTGTCACTTAACACTACGTCTCCATCCTACACCTGGAGTATACCATGGAATTATTTGTTGTTAACTGTGGATGCTGTGAATCTAAGAGGATCGCAGGACCACGGCGGAGCAAACGATAAGTCCTTATTTTCAAATTTAAAGTATTAACTATTTTACTATCCTTACCATCATTATTGTTACTTTGATCTCCCCACCAACCATCCAACGGGACTTGTAAAGCAACGTTTCTTAACCCGTATAAATTCAATGTTCATTGTACCCGTATGGTTACTGGGCAACTTGGGTTGATTTAGGACAGACCACTGTGGACTTCATCTGCCCTCTAGGTTAAAGTACAACACCAGGCTAGACAGAACATGCTATCAGCAGAGGACAGTCGATTGTTTGAAATACGTCGCTTGCACGTTTCCAGACAAAGGACCATGTCTGGCCATACGCTGAACCGGAAGCGGTAAATTCGGCCAGACTATGGGCGGTGTATGTGCCATGCAATAAAGCAGTCTCGAGTTAGTCGAAAAGTACACGTCGCTGATGTGCCAAAGCTGACAGCCCACCTTTCAGCTACTCATTCTTCATTGCACACGACTTCAGGTTAAATTCATATTAGTAAACGCTACCATTATTAAGTCTCGATATATTTTCCCGACTATGGTTGGAAGCACTTGTATCGTGTATCTCGCTGTTGGGAGTTCCGACTAGTGTCATAGACCACACAAATACATTGTGTTCCTCTGTCATCCAAAACTGTCGTACACTTGGTTTTCTTACTAAAGTATTTATGCCACCTCGTTCGCGCTGTGGCATGTGAAAATCAAGTAGTCTGTTGTGAGTTCCCTCATATCATAATCATGTGCCTACTTTGTGTGCGTTCAAAGTAAAAACGGTCATCCATTGTATTGGCCGACACCACATTTCAGTCAAAGTATGTCGTCGACTAGTTGTAGTTGACCTAGCGGATATCACTTGATCACTCTAGAAACTATAGTGGTTCTCAACCAGGGGTAATTACCCCCAAAGGGTAAAAGGGAATTTTTCTGGGGCTAAATATAAGTACGAGGATTGAGTCACCAATCAAGTGCTAAAGCAAAGAAAAGAACCAAATTTTAAGCAGTTAGTTCACTAAGACACTTTAAAATGCACCGAAAGAAGATGAAGGCTGGTCGATGCATGCATTTTGTATTGTCTGTGAAATGCATGCATCTACCAGCCTTTCGTCTTTTTTCCGTACTTTCAAAAAACTCGACTGTATCTAAACATGTAACTAACTACCTAATCGCCATTGTTTAGCCATCATTGACCAATCATTCATGAGTGGCCGTTAAAGTACACAATTTTCAGTAGTAAACTTACTACCTGAAATAAAAGTATAAGGCTGCACACCAACCCCGCTAGATGGCGCTTGTATCGGCTTGCGCGTCGATCGTCATTCTTTTGAGTCAGGCAGTCGTTCGCCGGATCGAATTACAGAATTAAGTAATCACTAAGATGGAACCATAGGTCGACCGACCTGGTAAAGGAGTAAGTGAACTTTTACAAGGAGAATGGACAAACAGACGATAAATAAACATATATCTAGTTGGTATATTCCTCGGCGGTGCGTGGCACAGTCCAACTATGCGATCTGATCAATGTATACAGCAGGATCGCACAAAATAAGTAGTTATTCAGGCTTTATACAATGGATCCAAAACGGATGTTAACATAATTGGCAGGTTTAAGGTATTAAAGTATCGAAAAAGTTGGGAACAGTAATTAATACAGATGCAAACAAATGTTCAGGGCATATCCATAGTCGGTGGCGGTGGGAAGTTATCCTTCAGGACGGAATTGACAGGGGTGTTTGAAACAACTGAGAAGCCACTGTTGTTTGTTCATGTTTGCTCAGGGATTACACACAAATGCAAGGAACCGAATGCACTTGGTGCACGAATTCTGATGTGTAATCGCCGAAACCGCACCAAATATACCAGAAATTGTTAGAACCAAGCAATATCAACCATCTAAGTAACGAGATATATACCTTGTCATTATTTTATTATTATAGTATATTACCTCTTGATTATTTAACAGTTGCAAATTATTGTTGTTTTCTTTCTTTGTAAGAGCAGAAGTAATTAACAACAGTATTCATTTTCCCTAAGTTGAAGCAAAAGTACAACAATGATTTGTAATTACATTCTTAAACTAAACTTTCGGGAGGTTATTGTTTATAATGAACCTGATTTATGGGTAACAACCTTTAAAAGGTTGAGATGCACTGCTCTAAATGAATCGTCGAAACTATTTTTGACACGCTGCCATTTGTATCTCCTTCCTTCAGGCCTACGAGGAGGGTAAAACCCGAATCAATCTGACGTCGAACTACATGCTGGTCGCTCTCCTTCTCTCCGAGTTGCAACACATTCAATGGTTGTTATTGTTCCGTTCGGTGAGTCTTGCTCTGAGCACCCTATGAACTGCGTCGTCTTGACCGTTCACTTCTTTGTAATGATGAAATCCAACAGTCAGAATGGAGTTGTTGAAGAAAGTATATGCAACGCCATTTAATTAAAACCACTGTGACCATGTTTGAATTCTCGCCATGTTGGTGTGCTAAAACAAGCTAATGGCAGTGCGTGTTTGGTGCTCTATTGGTGTCCACTCCCGGAGATGCCCTCGGTGTGTCTACACAGATGACGTGGGAGCTCAAGTTGTATTGGGTTTTATGCTGACATGTTCCGTCATTGCAAAATTATGGACTGAAATCTAAACTGTTAATCTTAAGCTGACCGTGCATAAAGGAATTTCGTCACTGGGCTGTAAGTGCTGTTATTTTACTGTAACATATTCATGCTTCTCATGCACCCGCGCACTTCTTTCGAGGCAGCCGATTGAATGAAAGGAACTTATTGGAGTTCTAACCGGCACTTACTTTATGAAAAGCTGTATATCATTATTTTAAAGCAGCTATCGTGCTTTTGCTTTCACTAGGCAAGCCTTAAGTACTGTTACGTGCGTCTCGAATACTGGTCGATAACTATGATAGGTAAGATACATGACAAGTACAGAGCGATAACGAAAATAGTGGTCGTCAAGCCCAACGTATATTACAAAAGCTCCAAGGAATAGAGACCGAAATGGCAAGAGGAAAGAGCAACATACTAAGCAACTTGGCAGGCAGAAACTGTGTGTGTGGAATGTACAATAGGTAAAACAAATGGAAAGTCAGAAAGCACAATGCTAATAAAATCCGATGTTGTGGAATACCGAAAGCGTACATGTTTCAGTTTCACTGCAACCTCGACGTGAGTGGAATGTTTCACTGTATAGCACTGATGTACAAGAGCGGGATAAGGGTAAAGCAAAATGTATCACAATTGAATTGGAAGATAGTATTCGTTCGTTTTGGAGTGGCTTTGTAGCGGTTTATTCGTAGGAGCCGCCAATAGGGACCGCATGGTGTGATGGTTACATTGGAAGTTCACTGAACCATCAGCATTGGGTAAGCTAGATTACATGCACGGAGTGGCCTTTATTGTTTGCTTGCTGTACGATGAAAAAATTACTTTGTGTGTCAGATGTTTCTTTGTGGTGGTGGAAAACGATTTAAAAGTATCTACGGTGAAGTTGGCATATGACTACTTGAACCGCATCGCATGCCAGAAAGCGGAATTTCCACTGAATGTTGCAGTTTAGCATCAGTCGCGCGTGATCACTCTGGAATGAAAATGAAGCATACACTCGCATCGATAGTGAAGTACAGTACAACAAAATGGCGCATACACAAAGGAAAACATTCTACTTCTCACTGAAAACTCCAAGACATTCCCGTCGATTGCATAGCGACATGGAAGTGCTTCCTTCTCAGTCGGATATTCGCTTGGTTCATCCCCCGAGGAGGATCCACAGCGGTTGGCGATAGAATGTCACCGTTTTCGAAATCAGTCCCTTATCGACCGTCAATGAGGTAAATGAACAACTAAAAATGCTTTGTTATGCGTGAAAAGCACGCACTCAAGAAGTTCTGTAAGATAGGTGGGGTGAAAATTGTACACTTAAAAGATATGTTTTATTAATGGTCGCGGGTTCGAGGCCTGCTATCTCCACCTGATGAGATGAAATGACGTCGAAACGCGTCCTAGTTGTGCAATGTTTTCGGGCGGACAACACAAATCTCCATAAGCCACTACAGCTTTAAGCGCTATACTGCATGGCGATAGTAGGAAGTGGGACGACCGATCAGCATGAATGACGCACGCGGACAAAAAACAATGAAAAATTATCTATGTCGGGTTAAAGATAGCAGTTGTTTAACAATTTCCGCAGGATAGTGGGATAAAAATACCTTATCAAATGGCATGTGAGTTGTCTGTTTGACCGTTTATCTAGCAGATACACTCATGAATAATAGTAGTGTAAGTGGGAATTGAACGCGAACGACGATGCAAACTGAAGACAGTTATGCTTGTTATATTCAGCAAGAAAAATAAAAAAACATTATACTCAATTCTGTAACGCCTCCTCAGGTTGATGTAGCATTTTAATCCGGTTTGGAGGGATAATTAATTTATTTTACAGTAGTACAGTTTAGGCAACGAAGTGGTGGAGGCCAAAGGCAATATCCAATCGTTTTTTTTTGAACATATCCAATATGGGGAAAGAAACAGCTACGTTTGGGAAAGAGTTCCAGGGTTGGCAAACCCGAATAGAAACATAATTCCGCCGGCATTCCAGGCGGCTTAACTGTGCACCCAATTGTAGACAGTTAACTCTGAGATTGGTGTTATGGCTGAGTTTCCGCAAGTGACAGCAGAAGTGGTTAGGGTCACTCAATATTTGATAGACTACTATGAGATCGCCGCGCAACCTTCGGTAGCGACCACTGAAAACTGCCAGTGACTTTAGTCTTTGATGGTAGGATAGATTTCGTAGACCCTGGACGTTCTTTGTGGCCATGCCTTGTGTTTTCTCTAGCACTTCTAAGTAGTGCTTCAACCAAGGTTGCCAAGCTTGGATGGTGTATTAAACGTGAAGACGCACATAAGAATTGTCATCATGGGGAAGATGGATGCATCGAATCTTCCGAAAGCTCTCCGCAGCAAACAGACGTGCTGGTTAGCTCTCTTCGCAGCTGCTTCTGAGTGTTTTGCACAGTTAAGGTCACTTTGTATGAGTATACCAAGGTCGCGTTCTTGGGAAGTTGTTTGCAATACATCTAACCCAGGTCCCTACACGTAGTCATGCCTATGGCACAATTGAACAGAGTGGCATTTTTCACATTGAACAATAGTGTATTCAGAAGTGACCAGTATGAAATGGTGTTGAGGTCACGCTGGAGCATTACGTGGTCGTTCGGTTCTTTGATCGTTCGCCATAACTTGATATCATCCGCGAAGGATAGAAAATCGGAAGTAATTTCCCTCGCCATATCGTCTATGAAAATCGAGAATAGACGGGGCCCAAGCACTGAGCCTTGTGATACGCCGCACTCCACCTCAATTGCTTCGGACAGAAATTCTCATACTTACACTTCCAACCGACATTCGTGCAGGAAATTACCTATCCAACACAGCAGTGGGTCACCAACGGCATAGAGCTGAACTTTATGGAGGAGAACAGCGTGGTCTAAAGGATAGAACGCTTTGAGTAGTTTAGGTACATGACATGAACTCCTGCCCCATGATCAACTGCTTTAGTCCAGCTATTGCGTGCAATGGGCACGTTCGTAGTGCATGAGCGCATTTGTCGGAATCCATGTTGCTCTGGTGCTATCATCTTGTGATTTTCCAGATGCTGCATGAGTGTATCAGCGATGATAGACTCCATAACCTTGGAAAGCACAGGGAGTAGCGTTATGGGACGGTAATTAGTTAGGCCAATGCGACTACCTCACTTATGAATAACCAAATAAATAAATAAATAATTTATTCCCGGCCGTGCGGGGCACGCCTGCGAAGGCGTGCTCACGAAAATACAAACAGGTATGGTCGGTGAATGTATAAATGGATTTCAACTTAACCAGTAATATACGGGATTAGCGTGCCTGTATATATGTAAAGGTATGTGTTAGTTGGCATGGTGAGCGAATTTACGAGGTGTGACCGAATTCGTGAGTTTGTTTGGTGTGTTCGCCATCGTATGAAGGGAGCAAAGGTACTCTTCTAACTGGATGACGTTCATGAAGTGGAGATCATCCGGAAGAGGAAGGGGCAGTGATTTTATTTAGTGGCGAGTCACATCCGCTGCATCACACCGCAGTTAAACGGACCTTTGTGGCTTTTTGTAGAAAGGAGGCTTGCCATGCGAAAACCCACTAGGTCCTGGAACACTGCCGTCCTACTATTCGCCGGATGGGAATTAACCCGAATCACCCAGCGGGCACCACGTGGAGGTGGTTTGGCTAGCCAGCCGTGTGCTAACCCCTTGCTTCCATATTGTTGGCATATGATTCTCCTTCATACTGCGCTGATAGAATATAGCCAGAGGTTGCGCCAGATCATTGGCCGTTACCTGCAAAGTCTTCGGTCGAATGTTCTCAACCTCAAGAGAGTCGTGACAACATTTTCTTTGACATAGTTTCTGCAGTAAAAGTAGGATTGGATAAGGCTGTTGGTGGAACAATAGAAACAGAGATAACCGTTTGACCCGTTACTCTCTGGAACGTTTGTGAGTAATGGAACGGTAAGTGAGCGGCTGCTTCCGTAGCTGATCGCGTGCACCCGTCAGTCGTGAGCAGTGCTGGAATTTCGCGTTGCATCTTGCGAAGGTCATTAACATGCCTGCAAAAGACTTTGCGGTTCGTGCGGAATCACTTCATTAACTCCTGCTGATACGTTGCCTTCTCCCCGCGGATCAAACTCACACAGAAGTTACGTCACGCCACAAAGGCAGTCCAGGTTTCGGAATTCGGGGAGTCCTTGTGAGCTCTCCATGCTAAGTCCCTCAAGGAATGGCTTCCTTCTCCTTTGAGGATGGAAGAATTTCTGCTCAGAAGTGTGCGTTACCCGTGTGGTAAATGTCATCGGGAAAGTGTATCAGGCGAGTTTTTTGGAACTTCAGTTAAGAAGGTCCAAGATCTTAATAAGCGCGGATAACACGTTGAAGTGCGTGACCGTATACACTTTATCATCCTCTTCCTCAGGATATTCCGCATAACATACATAGTTAAACGGTAGAGTCATATGGTCTCTGCGACCCAGTGGTGTGCTTGTAATTATTCCGTCTACCATCAGCTCTTTGTTGGTAAGCACAAAATCAAGTATCGACGGCTTGTTTTCAGTTCGAAATCTGGTGAGAGATGCCACGTGGTTGTACAGAGGGTAGCTGGAAATTACCGCTTGTAAACAGGCTTTGAACTGTGTGCTATCGGTCGCCGTTGTTTCCAAATCGTGCACATTAAAGTCGCTTGCGATGAGAATGTGAATGTATGTTTTGCTCAAAGCAACCTGA